TTCACTAGGAAACGCTCTTCCAGGGGTGTTTGTCTGACTTTGCGTCCTCTGCTTTTTTAATTTCCCATGTACCTTAATAAGGCATCACTCAAAAAAAGACATTGTGCTTAGCATGCTAATACAGGAAAAAGCCAAGCAAAACCACAGTTCTTCTGCGGTAGAATAGCGGTGGTGATCAAAGTTTTGGTAGCCGTCACAATAATCATAGTGGCAAGGATCCTAACAGCCAGCACTTAGGCCTCTGCCCTGAGCCGGGTCCAAGTCAGATCCTTCTGTGCAGGATTTCATTCAATCCTTATTCTAGCCCGAGGAGGAAGCCTCTGTAATTCATCCCTGCTTTAGAGATGAGCAAGTGGAGACTTAGAAAGCGTCAGTCCCCTGCTCAGTGGCGGGGCCAGGAGCTGACACAGGTTGGTCAGACCCCAAAGCCATAGATTTAACGCTGTACTAGTAGCTGCATAGTTGGGAAGAGCAAACCCAGGAAATGGTTAGCGGGAAGGTGTTTTGTAACTTGACCGTCCCTGCGCTGGAAGGGCCTGTGTTCTGGGTCACGGTTCTCCACCATGCTGGTCAGTAGTAGCGCAGATCATCAGATGCTCTCGGCTTCTGTTTGCTCATCTGTGGATGAACGTGAGCTTTCTGCCTTCCTGACTCTGAGGGGTGCTGCAGGGTAAAGGAGATGATGGGCTTGAGAGCACTTCATATATGGTGCAGGCAGGGGAAAGGGAAGTGATGTGCTGTCGGGGATGCAGGCAGGAAGTGTTAGGTCTCGTCGGGGGCTTCTCGGGAGAGAGCTGGCCCTGGCAGGCTGTGAAGGAGCCCCAGAAGATGCACAGAAACGGGGGAGAGGAAGGGATTCGACACGAGCAGACCAGTGAGCACAGAGCCTTGGAGGAACAGGTGAGGAAGGCGTGTCCAGAGACAGAATCGTTTATTCTGCCAGTATGAAGAATCTATTCATGTCACAGGACTTAGGTTTAGAAAAAGAGCAAAGAGAGAGGAGCTAACGTGTATTCCTGTGTGGCAGGCATTTTAGCAAAGGGCTTGGGTCATCCCAGGGCCCCCGTGTTCCTCACCTCGAGGTGTGAGGAGGTGTGGCAGCGGAGTGACCCTCGCTGGGAGGCCACGGGGCCCGGTGGTCCAGGGCACAGGGCCCAGCCTCTTTCCACCTCTGTAAAAGGACCGCAGTGATGGCTCCCACCTGGCTGGGTCGTGGAGACAGGTCAGGGAGGCAGCAGAGGAGAATGTTTAACACGGGGCCACAGTGGGATGAAGGATGGAGAGCTGGCAGGTGAGCGGACAGAAATGCATTATGCACCTCCTGACCACTAGGATCGTGAAAAGCTTTTCCTCTGCATTTCTTTAATCCTTACGTGGACCTGCCAGGGTCCATATTTGACCTTAATCTCTTTACCTGTAAGTGACTGAGGATTAAGAAAGTGAAGAGAAGAGAGAAGGCAGTGGTGCAAGTTACATGAGTCCTCCCCATCTTTCTCTCTCGGTTCTTAGGTAGGTTGTCAATGACAACGACAGCTACATGTGTTCAGTGCCTACTGTGTGCCAAGCCTTTACTAAGTCCTTCACGTGTAAGATCTCACTGAAGCTCACAAAATCTCACTGAAAAAAACGTGTGAAAAAGCGGAAGCCGAAGATGTTCAGTAGGGAGCCCAGACTTGCACGGTGAAGTGGAAGGGCCATAGCTGATGGTCTCCTTTTATGCCACAGTCCGTGCCTTTAGACCTAACTGTTGGCTTAACTGGAGAATACAGGCAAGGCTTATTCTGGATTCAGGGCACAGGACCTGAATGAGTAATGAGTAATGAGTGACGTGCTCCCGGAAGACAAAAACCGGGGAGGAGGGTGTAGAAGGAGGGGCCCGTGATGAGGGTGAGGCTCTGTTCCATAAGCCCTTCCCACAGTCCTTGCAAAAGGGCTGAAACTGTGAAAACCTACATGGAGGCATCAGCGTCCACTTCCTCTCCTCCAAAGACAGAGAATTCTCTACTTTCCCAGACAGCCTGTTTCATTTTTTACAGTCCTTCCTGTTGGGAAGATCTTCTGCATACTGAAAGTAAAACCGCTGACCCAATCTTCTGAACCGAGTAAGCATCTGAGAGACGTGGAACAGCAGAAGGGCCAAGCAAGAGAAATGGACAAAATAAACTTTTCTTTAAACACATGCTCGTACAGCCTGCTTCCACCTTAGATTCCCAGACAGAGGATGTTACAGTTCTGACTCAGCCAAAGGCTCAGAGTCACTGGCAAATCTCCCCAGTTTCTGCTCCCCAGCAGACTCACATTTTCTAATTTTCTAATTTTCGGGCTTTTGGAGCCCCCTCGGGATGGGCACTGAGGGTGGGGTCAGATGCTCTAGACTCCACGTCTTTCGCCTCCATGCAGATGGCCCTTAACTCTGTGTTACAGCGGGGCTTCCACCTGAGATTACACGTGAACAAAGGATTCCCAGGAAAAAGTGTTTGGCAACCACTGACTGGAAGGATCCCTTTGTTCTTTGGGCCCTGAGCAGTGTGTGAGGTTGTTAGAGAGGCGGCTATGGACCCCAGCACACGGGGAAGAGATAGCCCCCCAACTCCTGCAGGAACGGAGCCCCTTTCATCCAGCAGGAAAGGGCTCCTGAGCTTGATGGGAGAATGACAGGGTAGGTAGCCACACCTGAGCTGCCTGCAGGCCCTGCAAAGAGAAGACTTTTTAAAAGAGTTGACTTTGCCCCCTCTATGTCCCTCTCGGGATGATGGCCAGGCTTTCTGCCGCCCATTCATTGATCCCCAGCAGCTTCCTTCCTGCCTTCACTGACAGTCATGAGCTCTGTGAGTGTGACTCCAGGGCTGGTGCAGTCAACCTCTCTTCTCACCGTAAAGTGACATAGACAATGCTAGGTGGCCTGCCCCCTTCTGGGATTACTCTGAGAGTCTGTTGAGATGTTGGCTGTCAAGGAGTCCTGGAAGTTTGACAGACATGCAGATGTAAGGTGATACTCTTATATCCGCCGCCAGCATTCAGCTCAGAAAGGAAGGAAGAGAAGAATGAGCGCAATCTGAGTGTGGCAGGTGGTGGCTGGGGAGACACCTGGTGCCTTTCCTTCTCTCCTCCCACTTTCCCATGGCCCCTCCCTCCCTTCCATGAGCCCCGTGTGTACCGGGCCCTTCTGCTCCAATGACGCGACTGTAGTTTGAATATGTAGGTGAGGCCATTCACACCTCTGACAACCCAACACCTCCTGGTGATCACTTCTTGCTCTCTCATTCCCCTGGGCTGGAAATTTCCTCTCTCCCTAAGAGAGGGCTGGTTAAGACAGGGTTAACAGTGTTTGGAGTAGCTGTATCTTAGGGCTAGTATAAGCTTCATGCATTTTTACAGCTCATTTTCCCAAAACAAAGAAAAGCCCCAAAACTGTTTGTGTATCACAATGAATTTCTGAGTAAAAGTTCAAGGTTGCTAATAAGACTGTTTAATTGGCCTGGGTTTGTCCATGCTTGGTGCTAATCATGATTTTTTTCTTCCCAGGAACTGAAGCATCTCATCCTTGAAGCGGCTGATGGATTTCTGTTTGTAGTGGCGGCTGAGACGGGGAGAGTGATTTATGTGTCTGACTCCGTTACCCCCGTGCTGAACCAGCCCCAGTCCGAGTGGTTTGGGAGCACCCTCTATGAACAGGTGCATCCTGACGATGTAGAGAAGCTGAGAGAGCAGCTGTGCACCTCAGAAAACTCAATGACAGGTCAGTGTAGCTCTCTCTCTCTCTCTCTCTCTCTCTCTCTCTCTCTCTCAAGACTTTTCCCTGGAGAAAAATTACTTTCATTAAACATATCAGGAAGCTGGAGGTCAGAAAAAATTGCCTACAGGTGAGGGATGTATTTGACTTAGCTTGTGTAATAGCTTCATTCATCCTGTAATGTTTTAAAACTTCATTTTTAATACATGATTTTTTTCCTATATTTTACCTGCAATTAAGGCATGTCGCTCTTAGGAACGTTGACACATTAGTCACAACCACATGCTCTGAAATGAGGGTTATGCCTCAAGTGTATGATTATTTGTGAACCTGATTATAGGCACTGATTTCCCAGACCTTACTTACCAGAAGTGAAATTTCTCATTGAGACGTTTAAATACAGTCAGCTCTGCTCTAACACAAAATACATGTCATAAAAATCACTGCAGTAAACAGAATCATGAAACAAAACCCACAGGGCTTAGTGGGAGAAAGTGGGCTAGGAACACAACACTCAAAAATTTGTCAGTGACAGGTAAGAACAAAACTAGGAACCTGATAAAAATGGGAGCACAGGTTGACACATAAATATGGCACTTGACCTGGAAACTGACTTGAAGTTTACTTATGGAAGTGAGCCTCAGAAGGGCTGCTACTTGGGTGTTCCTGTGAAATGGTGCAAGGACAGTCATGTGAAATCAGGCAGAAATCAAAAACTCTAACACCAGATGTTGGACAGGTATGGCTCATAACACACACAGTAAATTGAGACGGCTGCTGTGTGCCTGAGTGTGTGCATTTTGTGGATTCCTATGTGGCTGAGTTCAGCTGGGTGCAGTTTTCTATGTTCATCTAGTATTTCTTGCAGATGAAATCATGCGTAAGCAAACACAAAATTCACATTCTGTTCAAATTGTCCCCCAATGTATCAATGGCATTGGAACAGATTTGCATTTTCAAAACAAGTGTTACAGTAGAGCTGACTTATACCATAATACTTGCATTCCACTTTATGATAGATCTGTTTGTGCAGTGGTGTTCTTCCTGCCACACTGAGAGCTACTGGCTTCTCATTCACTTCTGTGTCTGCCTGCAGAGCCTTACTCAGTGCTTGGCATGCAGTAGGCATTCAGCAGAAGCCTGGTGAGCAAATGAGGCAGTGTTTTGCTCATTGTAGTAGTCTGCTAGGGCTGCCATAACAAAATACCACAGAATGAGTGGCTTAAGCAACTGACATTTATTTTCTCACAGTTTTGGAGGCTGAAAGTCCAAGATAAAGGTGTTGACAGGTTTGGTTTCTGGTGAGACCTCTCTCCCAGGCCTGTAGACGGCCGCCTTCTCACTCTATGCTCACGTGGACTTTCCTCTGTGTCCACACATCTCTGGTGTCTCTCCCTCTTTATTTATTTATTTTTGGCTGCATTGGGTCTTCGTTGCTGCACGCGGGCTTTCTCTAGTTGCGGCAAGCAGGGGCAGCTCTTCGTTGCGGTGTGCAGGCTTCTCATTGCAGTGGCTTCTCTTGTTGCGGAGCACGGGGTCTAGGCGCATGGGCTCAGTAGTTGTGGCTTGCAGGCTGTAGAGCACAGGCTCAGTAGTTGTGGCCCACAGGCTTAGTTGCTTCCCGGCATGTGGGATCTTTCTGGACCGGGGCTCGAACCTCTGTCCCCTGCATTGGCAGGCTGATTCTTAACCACTGCTCCACCAGGGAAGTCCCACTCCCTCTTTCTTCTTATAGGGACACCAGACCTACTGGATTAGGGCCGTACTCTCTTGACTTTATATGACTTTCTTCACCTCCTTAAAGGCCCCGTGTCCAAATACAGTCACATTCTGAGGTTCTGGGGGGCTAGGATTTCAAGATATCAATTTAGGGGGGACACAGTCCAGTCCATAACACCTATGATAATACTGAATCAGCTGTTGTCAAAAGTGACAGCAGTACCACTGTTTCTGAACAATAATAGTCATTTTCTCAGTGTTGGTTATCAACGATACATGAAAAGGAGGGAGAAGATAAAGGATTAAGGTGTGAGGACAGAGCCTACATTGTGCTTATCTCGTGTCTCCTGAAATGGTGACACGTGACCGTACTTGTAAAACAACGGCGCTGAAACAGATGCAAAGAAAGACGTGCTCTGCCATCCCCCAGCCTGGGATGAATTAGAGAACTCCCTGTAGAAATCCTTGGGAACACACCTTGTAAAGTTAGATATCTGGGAGGGATGTGAAAGGGAAATAAAGCAGCCAGGAAGTGTTGGTTTGACAGCTGAAATCACCTTCTGTGGAAAGAGCTGTCTTTTTCCAGACTTCAGTGTTTGAACACAGGATGTGGCTTTTTGAAACCAGTCAGGAGACCCAGCTGGAGCAGTTGGTGGGGGAAGTGATGGTCAAGGGCAGGTCAGGCTCTGGGTCAAGGGTTTAGCTAGCGGGCTCACCAGAGTTGGGTGGACCCTTCTGTCTGTGGGAAGTCTTAATGTGTCTGGCAATGTTTAAAGGGGCAGAGTGAACCACATTTGGACAGAAATGTCCCTGGAGTGGGCACTGGATGGTGGCCTTGGCATCCTTTACCTCCAAAAAGTTCCTTGTGCTCTTTCGTGGCTTTTTTTCTTTTTCCTTTCCTCTCTTTCTTCCTTTCTTTCTTCCTCCCTTCCTCCCTCCCTCCCTCCCTTCCTTCCTCTTTCTCTCCCCTTTTTTTTTCTTTCTTTTTTTCTAAGAACACCGAACACGAGATCCCTCCTTACTCCATTTTAAAGTGCACGTTACTGCATCATTAACTATAGGTACCGTATTGAAAGCAGATCTCTAGAACGTACTCATCTTGCATAGCTGAAACTTTATACCCATTAAGCACAAACTCCCCATTTCCCCTTCCCCCCAGCCCCTGGTAACCACCATTCCCCTCTCTGCCTCGATGAGTTTGACTACTTTAGGCACCTTGTATAAGAGGAATCAGCAGCATTTGTCCTTCTGTGACTGGCTCATTTCATTTAGCATACTGTCAGCTAGGTTCAAACCTATTGTCACAAATGATAAGACTAACTTCTTTAAGGCTGGAAAATATTCCACTGTATGTATATACCACATTTTCTTTATCCATTCATCTGTCAGTGGGCATTTGGATTGTTTCTGTATCTTGACTATTGTGAACAATGCTGCAGTGAACGTGGGAGTGCAGATAGCTCTTTGAGATCCTGCTTGCAGTTCTTTTGGATATACACTATAGCCAGAAGTGGGGGCTGCTCCCAGGCAGGGTTAGTTCTCACCCAGGCTCTCCTCATATAACAAAAAAGGTGTTTACTAGAAGCTCTAAGTTTATGTTCTACTAGCTTTGCAACACCAGCAGAAACTGTTAGCCTTCCCAGTACTTCCAGCAAATGTCCCAGGATTGGCTCTCTTGGATCAGCTTGGGACACCTGCCCTCCCCTATTCCGGTGGCTAGGGAGTCTGAGCCAGGGTGTGAGGCCAGCTTCTCCATCCAAGGCACCTGGACCCAAGAGGTGGGGAGATGTGATTTCCCAGAGGAAATTAGGGCAGTCACTAAAAGTTGGCCCTGGCTGGGAGAGCCAGGCTCTGGGCGTTAGAAGTGATGCCCGTGGGGAAGGATGGGCGTTCTCCTGGAGAACGGGGAGCACCTTGTCCTCTTACTGGGAATGCTGGGGATATTGGGGTTACAGGATTCTGAGCTGAAGATGGAGCCAGTGTCAGTTATGAAGGAGGGTAGTGATCAGGTAAAAGTTTGATGGAGGGAGGGGCTGCAGAAATAATTACTGTGGGTCTTGGAGTGACCTGAGCCCCAGCTCACTGTATGGAAGGAGAGGAACCAAGGAGAGGCCCAGGCTTTCTACGTGGTGGCAGAGCCTCTGACTATAACTGGATGTGCCCAAGGGGTGGGGTCAGAGGGCAAGCAGCGCAGCGAGCTGCCCAGCAGAGTGCAGAGAGAGCGAGTCCTTCTCTGTATCTTCCATGATCCATCCGAAGACCCCACCCACTCACCACCACTGTGGCTGCTGAACTCTGGAAAGCCCTGATCCTGGCTAGCAGAAACTGGAAACGCCTTGTCAGTGACACTGTGCTTGCGCAGGAAGTGCCTGGCGGCCCCGGCTGAGAAGCAGACGTGGAAGAGGATAACCCGTGGCTTCGTCAAGACTAGGTTTATTTGGCCCATTTCCCCACTTTGCTCTTCTGTGGCTCTGTTTCTGCTTGACTCTTCCTTCATTCAGAGAATTGGGTCAGCCTTTTGGTTCAGTATAGGGAAGAACTTTGCAATAGTTAGAACTGTCCAAAGGCACAAAGAGTGTAAGCCAAGGCTGGATTAACCTTCCTTCCTTCCTTCCTTCCTTCCTTCCTTCCTTCCTTCCTTCCTTCCTTCCTCCCTCCCTCCCTCCCTCTCTTCCTTCCTTTCTTTTCCTTCCTTCTTTCCTCTTTCCCCCTCTTTCTTTATCCAGTCACTACTTTTTAAAAATCATTGGGGACTTCCCTGGTGGCGCAGTGGTTAAGACTCTGTGCTCCCAACGCAGGGGGCCCGGGTTCGCTCCCTGGTCAGGGAACTAGATCCCACATGCATGCCGCAACTAAGAGTTCACATGCCACAACTAAGGACCCTGCCTGCCGCAACCAAGACCTGGTGCAACCAAATAAGTAAATAAATATGTTTTTAAAAAATCATTTATTCATTCATTCAACAATTACCTGTTTTGCATGGCCATAGAAAGGTCATTTGGGATGCAGCCTCTCCTTCCCAGTCACCGACAGGAGTTTCCAGCTGTTGTTGAATGAATGGACCCCCATTTCTTAATTGTTCCAAATTATTTGTGATAATTTGGGGAGAGCCCCAGCCAGGTTGGTCCCTGAGGCCCTTGGCTGGAAAGCTCTTGTGCATGATTCACATGTCCCAGTCAGCTGTGATTAAGCTTCCCTATCTCCCCGAGAGCTTCGCTGAAGTCCAGAGATACTTTCAGCCTTGGATCACAGGATTTGGCCGGGCCGTGGTCCGGGCACAGATAGCA